GAAAATTCTTGAAAAAATAGGAGAAAAAATTAGATTTTCGGAAAAGATTCGGAGGACAACTCCGAATTTCTGAAAGAAATCGGGCAGAATTCGTCTGGAAATTCGGCGGAATATTCAGATTTTCTAAAAGAAGTCGGTCAGAATTCGAAAGAAAATTCGGAATAAAATTCAGATTTTCTGAAAAAAAAAAACGCTCAGAATTCGGGAGAAAGTTCCGATTTTCTGAAAGAAATCTTTCAGAATTCGGAAGAAATATCGAAAAAATCGTCACACCACTTAAAAATGAAAAAAAAAAACACATATTTATTTAAAAAACAAACAATTTATTTCGGGTTTCGTAAAAATGTAGTTTAAATATTACATCTATAATACATTTACATTATAAATATTATTTTTATTAGGAACATAACATACAGTAGCACGTTTCTGTTTCAACTGCTAAACAAGAACTAAAAATAAAAAGCAGTGCACACAGAAAACCGGTATGTAGTTGTTTTTGCAATTTTTTTCCATCATATTTTTTTGGGAACGAAAGAGAAAGAGGCTGATTCACAACAACAACAAAACGCACATTTTTACAACGGAAAATCTAACAGTTCACAATACAATAACAAATAGCATTTTTGCTTTGCGCTTTGTTGTTGTTGAGATCTTGAAATGAATGATCACAACAACAACTACTATGGGAGAGAATGTGTCAAACCACCACCATCCGTTTACATGTGGGATAGAATATGCCAGAGCAATAGACAATCTACTCTCTCCGTTTGTACATTTTTCGAGTTTTTTTCGCTTAAAAACACAGGAAAATGTGCAGAAATTCTAAAAAAAAACGTTTAGAAAATCGGACCAATTTCTATCAGAAATTTCTGAAAAAAACGTCAGAAATTTCGGAAAAAAATCTAAAATCAGAGCAGTCGGAAAAAATTGTTTACTGGGTTGGTGGATGTGTGCGTGTGTGTTTGTGTGATATATCACATTTCACTGTCTACATGGCTACATGAGGAATAAAATTAATGTGGCTTTTTTGGCATTGTTGTTGTTGTTGCTGTTGTATATTTGCCATAGAAATTTTTCAATAAAGCAAATTGTCAATTTTAATGATATTGAAAATGCATTTATGGGATTCCTTTGGTGAAGTAGTAGTAATGGCTCACATTGTTTGTTGTCATTAAAAATAATGAGATATATATTTTAGTAAAATATAAACAAATTATATATACACGCACCTACACACACACGCACATATACATATACCCATATTGTCTATCATTATCAACATGATAAGTGGGTGAATGGGGTGGGGGGTGGTTGCTATAGGAAAAATCATATATCATTCTATGAACACCCACATATGTAAATGTTTTCAATAAAAGGCTTTATTATACAATGAAGCATAACAATGCCAGTATAGTTGTATTTTTCTGTATGTGTGTGTGTGTGTGTTTGTGTACAACACCAATTTTATTGTGATATTATTATATAAGCATTATTATGCTAATTAAATTTCGTTATAAGCACCATATATGTATAAGTATATTCCCTCCATCGGCTCCCCCAAAAGTATACTATACAATAGATAACATTAAAACCAAACAATCATGCTGCTACTACTGCTGCTGTTTGTTGTTGTCTGTTGCGAGGCCACGGGGTTGCATGCGGAACTAGTGAAAGGTGGTATTGATAATGGAACAAGAGCAAAACGCAAAAAAACCTCTGTGTATTCTAAACCTTTTGTTATTTTTAATCATCATCAAATGACAATAACATTAATGCTTTAGCTTCTACTACTGCTGTTGTTGTTGTTGTTGGATTTGTTTTTGTCGTTGGCGAGGATGCTGATGATGATTGTGATTGTCAGTATAAAGTGATTGACATTAAAACTCTTCAAACACTCAACACACTCGAGAATGCTTGATATCAACATACTCAATGCACCAAAATTCAAAAGCACCCACACACACGCGCATACATACATACATCACCACAACAACAAGAGGCCCACTTCAATAAAAATCAGATCATTAAATTTTGAGAGTGGGAGAGAGAGAGAGACCAAATTCATGGAGTTGGAGGGCAAAATAACAATCCTTAAATAATGGCAGAGAAATAAAAACCGAATATAATCGGATTACAAAACAAGAGAATTATATAATACACAATACATATATACGCATTTATAGGCACACACACACTCATACATATGATTGTTCTATAGAATAAATAGGTGGCTTATATAAAACAATCGTTACAATAATAAGCATCCTTTATAATGTAATTATATGGTTGGGAAAAAATAAATCTTACTTTAAGATAAGGAAATATATGTTGAAACCAACAATCTGTCGGATGAAAGGCCTTTAAAAGACTTCATGTGATCTTAAAACATCTTAAAATACAAAAAAAAAAAAATAAGGTTCCAAAGGTCTTATGCAGATATAAGATATTACAAGAGGGTGTCTATAGAAATAACACCTCGTCAAGGACTAAATGTTAGCATGAGTTTAGTTTAAGGATAATGAAGGCTGTATGTCCGAACTGTATCAAAATAATTCGATAGGAATTATTAGAGTCTCTATGGCATTTTTGAAAGCTTTTTTTTAAGGACCATCAAGAACACAATAGTAGTTTGAAAAAAATATTATATAAGGACTTTCAGGGAACAGAAAAAAGGGGGTTTTTATTATTAAAGGACTTATTAAGAACATTAACAGTTATAATCGTAGATTTTTAAGAATATTGTTGAAAGACTTACAAAAATCGAATTTTTTAAAAAAGAACTCCTGAAAAGCGATTTAATAGACGTCCTAATGACATTTAAATACCACTACTAGTAGTTGACATATCCCATAAAAAAATAATATCCTTTTAATTACTATACTAGCTTCAAATGTTTAGTTGCCCTTGTATTTTTTAAATATTCGAATAAAGGTCTGTCTGTTTTTGTAACAATTGTCTTTAAAATTCACGATAAAAGATTTAAAAATCCTTGTAAAGTATTCCCAAAAAAAATCTTGATTTTATAAGAATCTGAATGTCCTTGGATTTTCTAAATCCAAGTAAAAATATCGGTGTGTCCTTAAAAAAATAGTCAAAATAAATTCACAATTCTTTAAGCTAAATACTCTGGTAAAAAAAAATTCCATAAGAAATCGAAGATAAGAGATATAAATGTCTTTTAAAAATCTTTAATTAAATTAAAGGATCTTCAAGGATTAATTAATGACATCCACATCGCTAATAGTGGATATTAAATTATACTTTTTGAAGGACTTCCAGAGCGAAAAATTCAATTGTTTTTAAATAATTAAATTTTTAAATAATTAAGGGCAAAACAAACCTTATCGAAGTAACGGATAATCGGAGATGGACAATATCGGTCCAAAATTTTCAAAAAAAATATTTTACTGCACAGAAAGAGAAAGAATAGTCCGTTTTTGCTCCAACTTTTCAAAAACAAAGTTTTGCATAGGTGCTGACTCAGGTGCGAAAATGGACACTATCGGTCCACTCCTACAAGTACCTCTCCCATAAAAAGGGTCAAAATTTTGAATAATTACAACTCTTATAAAATGTTATGATATTTTCTTCACATTTCACACATCCCAATATTTTTATTAACCCAAGATCTGGTGTTAAGATGAAATACATCGGAGGAGTGGTCCACTCCTTCTGGTAAGTCTCTCAAAAAAGGTCGAAATTTTCAAAAAAAAAAAAATCTGCACAGAAAGAGAAGCAATAATCCGATTTTGCTCAAACTTTCCAAATTGTAATATTTGGCTCAGTTCTCAGTCAGGTGCAGGGCAATATTCACTCCATCAAGTGCTTCCCCCACAAAGTGTCAAAATTTTGAATAATTACTACTCTTATAAAATGTGATGTAAGAATACGATTGTCATCAAATTTCACACATCCTAATATTTTTATGAACCCAAGATCTGGTATTAAGTCGGAATATAAAGGTGGAAATTTTTCATAACTGTTAAGCTCATAAAACGCGAAATTAACATCCGATTCCATTTAGACTTGGTACATCTGAATATTTCTATCAACAACTGATCAGTTATAAAGATGGTACAGATTGGACCATTTCTGTTGGTACCTCCCCCACAAAGGGTCAAAGTTTTGAATAACCAAAACGATCATAAATTCCGAAATAAGCATTCCGTTCTCTTCATATTTCACACATTCCATTATTTATACTAACACAAGATTTGCTGTGAAAATGGGTTATATCGGTCCACACCTTCTGGTACCTCCCCCATAATGGGTCAACATTTTGAATATTCATGAAGCTCATAAAACGCGAAATTAACATCCGATTCTATTCAGACTTGGTACAGCTCAATATTTCCATCAAAATCAAGATGTAGTACCGGCTCCACATAGGGTTCAAGATTTTGAAAAACAAAACGAAAGCGAAATAAGCATCCAACTCTCATCAAACTCGAAACATACAAACATTTTTGCTAACACAAAATCTGTTCTAAAGATCATATCAACGAACACCTTCGGGTACCCCAAATACAACGCGTCAAAATTTTGAATATACATGAAGCTCATAAAACACGAAATTAACATTCGATTCCATTCAGACTTCACACATCTTAATATTCCCATAAAAACAAGATCTGTTATAAATATAGTGGAGATGGGACCATTTCTTCTGGTATCTTCAAGATCCATATTTAAATAATGAAACATTGGCTGAGGTTATATATCTGTCGCTAAATCCGACTGATATTTTTTAACTTCGTCCTTCATGATGTTAAAAAAAAAATAAAACTAGCAGTAGACAGGTTTTGGAAGAGAGCAGTGATGTGCTAACTTACCTCAAATAAAATTCAAAAAAATTAATTTCTCTGTACTTTTATCAAAAGACATTATTTGGAGCCTATCTTAAGGCATAGCATTATAAGTAACACAATTTACATTTTAACCTTTTTAACCATTTAATATTACAAAAAACTTATTTTTATCTTCTTTTCCTTTACTTCCAGGGTGCTTCCTCTAGTCTGGTAGTTAAATTTGCTGATACCGAAAAAGAAAGGCAAATACGGCGTATGCAACAAATGGCCGGTCATATGAATCTGCTTAATCCATTTGTCTTTAATCAATTTGGTCCATATGGAGCTTATGCGCAGGTAAATACATAGAGAAACCCCCCCGAAAAAAAACACGAAACAAAAAAGTTCTCCACAATTAAAAATTGTTCGCAAGCAAGGGCCCAACCGACCGTAAAAACTCGCATAAATACAGATGCAATATTGTTTGAATGCAAAGGGCCAAGTTATTATGCACTGATGAGATAAGGGGGTTAACTCGTATACATTGTATTTAATAAGATACATGACAACAGCAGTTTTCAAGGGTCAAGCCATGGTAACATAAGGTGAAATTCGTTGAAAAAATAAGATAAATAAAAAGTTCCGAAGATTGAGTCTTATGGTTACTGTATGACTTGTAACAGGGGAAATGAATGAAGGTGAAAAAGTATGAAAGAAATGTAAAATAAAAAAATTATTTCAGGTATTGAAAATATTGCAAAAAATATATAAAAATTTAAAATACACAAATAAAGACAATCCTAAAAGTAGGCACCATATTTTGCATCTAGAAAAAACCCTAGTTCAATGTCAATATTGCAGAGAAAAATATCACTTTAAAATAAAATGTGAATAATACTCCTGAAAGTATACACCATATTTTGTATCTTAAAGAACCAAATTAATTGAAATCAGTGAAATGTAAATGTGAAATATTAATGATTTTAGCTATATTATTCACCGATTTTTTCAACTTTCGTATTTGAATAAAATAAAAATTATGATAAAAGTTAAACCATAATATAACGGCTACATTCGGTATTTTTAAGACTTTAAAAGAATTGGTAATGGATTTTATTTTTTTGAAAATTGTCAAATTCGTTCCAAATGGTGGAGGGTACTCAAAATTCGGCCCGGTCGAACTTACAGCTTTTTACTTGTTTTTTTCAATATATAACAATAAAAGAAGCTCATCTGAACTTCTTTCTCGACACGGCCACGGCTCTCAGTCCCTTCCAAGTCGCACAAAATTAAATTAAGCAAGTGTCATAAATTCCCAAATGTCATTGTAATTTTTTAATTGCATGCTACCTCAGACAGCGAAACACAGAGCCAGTTAAGAAGGCCAAAAACACAGCATGATGAATATTATTGTGGTCTTGCTTCTCATCTTAACAAAAAGACGGACAAATACAATACGAAATGTAAGATCTGTAATTAAGTTGTTGGGCTTGCATGAACAATTTCAATAATTTTTGTGGATGTTGAGTTCAATATCCAAAGCTTTGTATATTCTTAATAAGGTTTATTATGCCACAATAATAATTTTTCTTTTCTTCCATTTCTGTCTTTCTTGTTTTGTTTTTTTCCATTGCCACTTTTATAGCAACAACAAGCTGCATTAATGGCTGCCGCTGCCACAGCCCCTGGTTCATATATAAATCCCATGACTGCTTTGGCCACTCAAATACCTCCGGGCATTAATGGTGCTGGCCAGCCTTCATTACCCTCACCGACCATGCCCAATTTCCAGATGGGCGCACAAACGCCCAATGGCCAACCGGGCAGTGCTGCTGCAGCTGCAGCGGCTGCTGCCGCCGCTGATGGTGTGTTTACAAATGGTATGCCACCACAGACACCATATCCAGGACGTAAGTATTTTCTTACTATATAAAAAATATATTTAATTAGAAAAAAAAATCATTTTTAATATGGCTCCTAAATGTAGGCAATATTTCTGAAAATATAAAATTCAAGACAGCTTAAGATTTTAAAACTTAGTGTTTTTGAAACTCATGATAAATTTTTCATTTATTTCAAGTACACACGAATTCAAATTATATTCAAATATGGCGCCTAAAATTAGGCAATTGTAAATTGGACAATTTGTATGAAATGTTGAATAAAACCAACATATATGAATAAGGGCTGTTTTATATATTTTGTTAGTGACGCATTAATATTTTGATTTTCATAGCATAGTTTTAGGCGCTCCCAAAACGTTGAACTTAAAACACCGTTTAAATTAATATATTTATAATATTAATATGGTAGTATAGTAAGGTATACTGTTCATAAAGTAAAGAATTTCCTTTAAATTTAATATTTTTTGGAAACGCATAAAAGTATGCTTTAAAAATGCTTGATAAAAAATTTAAAAAAGGCACATGTGTAAAAAAGGCTTAAAGGGAAAGTGCTTCAGGCACCTACTATATATCGTGTTGGAGTCATATGCTTGTGACTTTTTCCTCTTTAGTATTTTTAAAGCCTTCTTTTAGGCGCTTCCCAGAGTGTTTTAAATCAAAAAGAAATGAATTATAATAAAGTGAAAATTTATAAATGTACAGTAGATGTATACATGTGGAAGTTTCTTTTAAGTTTTATAATAGTTGTGAATGCCCGAAAGTATGCAACAAAAATGCTAAAAGTTTAAAATGAAAAGATCACTTGAAATATGGATTTACTATGAAATGTAATTCACTTTAGAGTGGATTGAAAAGTGACTTCATCGCATATATATATTTAGCATCTTTATTGCATACCTTTAAGCGCTTTAAACAGTTGTTAAACTAAAAGGAAATACTTTTCTGCACTCTATAAACCATAAAATATAATACATAATTATTTATAATATAATTTTATTATATTTGTACTATAATAATTTAATATTTTTTATTTTTTTAAAAATAATGGGAGCGCCCAAAAGTGTGCTCATAAATTTCTACATATAATTAGTTACTTTAGACTTGATTTCAATATTATGTGTATATGCCTTTTATTCATTCCTAAGTTTATTACATTTTTTAAAATAACCAATCTTCGAAAACCATTGCCTACCTTCAGGAGCCTTATTAAATTCACACCAAAATAAACATTTTCCATAAAAATATTTTTCAGAAATCTTGTTTTTTCAATAATATTTAATATTACAACTTTTCATTAATAGAATTGTACCTTTCAGCACCTTTACACTTAACCATACCACCCCAAGGCCTGCAAAATGGCGAAGCCGCAGCATTACAACATGCCTTTGCCACTGGCATGCAACCATTCCCTGGAGTTGGTAAGTATCCATTAAGAAATTAAATTGTTATTTTCCAAAAACCTTTTTCTACAAAACTTTTTGGCCATTGTTTAATGACAACAAAAAACTCCTTGGTTATTAGAAAATTTTAATTTCTTTTATCACAAGCAAAATATAAATAGAAAAAACGCTCCTTATGGTTTCAACATTTTCTATTCACATCATTCATGTAGTGTTTAAAAAATCAATTATAAATTGTTTTATTTTTCTGATTTGTATTCTTTGTTAAATATTGTTCTTTTTTATTTTAATACTTGATGTTGTTCAAAAAAAAAAAAGTTCAATTTAACTATCACCCATGGTATTTGTATTTGACGTAATACATTAATAGTTTTTTTACGTAACCAAAAAAAACGTATTCAGTGTTACATCTTTACAAAACAATAATGAAATATTGAAAAAAAGAATTAAATCAAATTCACTCCCCTTATAATCATAATAAAATATACTCATTTTTTTTTCTTCAATATTAAATATTGTTTTGTATTACAAATTTACAAACACAACGAATTTATGTTTGTTATTCAATTATTTGTTAAATATTTTTTAATATACATATTTGAAACAAAACAAAAAAAGAATTACAATTATTATAATTGTTGTGTCATGCCATAAATATTAATTGTTAGTATATTAAATAAAAAAATAACTCAACACAAAAAACTGCAAGGCAAAAAAAACAAAAACATGAAAAAATAATCAGACAATAAAATCTAATTTATTTATAAACAATAAATATTATAATCACTTAGAACAAATAAATTACGTTAATGGACAATGAAAAAAATACTAGTTGAAAGCTCTAAAAAAACGAGTGGATATGTCTTGGACACATTCATGGTCTGAATGCATAGAAAATTAATAATGCAATACTGATTTTCCGAAATATGTATATGCCTCAGAGCCACCTGCCGATTTATAGGAATTTTAAAGACCCTTCATATGGAATTGACATCAAAATGTTTTTCCTTTTAAAAAATACCACAACTCTTCAAAATGTTTTTAATTGGCAAATCAAAACCAATTCGATTTCAGAAAATATAAAAACTTAGCAAGACTTTTTCCAACGAGCGCCATCTATTAACATTGGGCTAACAAATGGTTCCTTAAGAATACATATTAAAGGGTATACTCTCAGGCGGAAATAAAACTATTTAGAATTCAAATTCTATTAGGCGAATTTAGAAATGTTGCAAGGCCTAGATCATAGTTATGACATTGAATAAGTTGAGACATTGTATTGTAGCTATGTTTCCCTAGATACAGATTTGCACTTTTATTCAATATTAAGATATCGAATCCACTGGAATAGTTATTTATTTTTTTTTTTTTTGAAAAAAGCCTCCAAATCTTGGCATTTCAATTCTTCTATTACATTTCCTACACGTTATTGGCCACCTATGGTCTAGAAGCATAATTAAACTGCATTTTGTAAAAAAAATATACAAGTATAAAGATAAGTCAAAATGCATATTGTCATTTAGTTTTTCCATTTGGCAATAGATGGCCGAAGACATGACAAAAACGTATTAGAAATATTGCAGATATTGATAGAAAATAATAAGAAAATAAGATACCGATAAGAACGCCCACCCAGTCTATAAGATTATAATAAATTATATATCATAATGTGACGACATAGCATTTTTTATACTACCCACGCCATCTACCGAATCGAAACAACAATGAAATGTACCATCTTATATGTTTCTGTTTTGGAACAATTCTTGTTGCTTATGTCTTAAAATTAAAGAAAAATTAAAGCGCCATCTACTGACATTGAGCTAATGAGTGGCTACCTAAGATATTGGCCTTGATAATCTTACGTAGATCGATGGAGGATTCGATTTCTGCCTTGAGCTAAAATCTAGAATTTTTGCATGACTTCGATGGGGTGCAAAGACACAATATATAATACAATTGGACATATCAATGTCGTGATATTTCGGTAGGTGGCGTTGGTGGATTCTTAAGTCTACGGTCATTCTAGATAATTTATTTAAAAATTTTCCGTCCTGAATGGCAACTTAAAAGTGACATACGACAATTTCTATTAACCTTTCGTCATTCCATTGAACATCTATGGCCTAATAGCAAAATTAATATGAATTTTGTCCTAGCTGTGTTGTTTATGTCTTTAATAATAAAAATACAGTACATACCGAGCGCCATCTATTGATACTAGCCTAACCAATAGATATCTAAGAAATTCATAGTCGATTCAAATTATAACTGGCCCTCTGAAATTTTCTTTTACCTTCGTAGAATATTTTAAATCTTTATATCGACTAAAATCTTCCTAAGCGCCAAACTTTTGGTGTTAGGCTCAAGGAATTATTTCCTGATAAATATTAATTGAAAATCATGATTTCAGGCGGAAATTATCTTGGACAAATTGGTATAGAGACACCTTAACTTATTTGGGTTAGGAGCCTATAATAATTTGTGACTGTTCATTGTTGCTTTGATTCGGTAGATGGCGTTGGTAGTAGAAACAAATGTTATGTGACCATATAATGACATGATATTATGTTATAATCTAACAGACCTGACTTTTTTTTATAGGGTTTTCATTAATTTAATAAATACAATGAATTCAATGAATTGTTCTGCATTGATTTCAAAATAACATATTGAAATTTTGTCATGTCATTGGCCATCTATTGCCTCATAGAAAAATTAAACAGCGTCATCTATTGATGTGACACAAAATTCAAAGGTCCTAAAAATTCTGTATTTCGACTGTTGTCTTTTCAAGAGCGCCACCTATTGGTATTAAGCTGAGGAAACATTTCCCAATAAATGTTAATTGAAAAAACATGTTTTCAGGCGGGAATGATATTTAAAAATATAGTATAATGGCAAAATACAATATTTGATATGAGAGTCGGAACTTGTCAATTTCACTCAGGGAGAAATTGCGGCCTAACAGAAACCCGATATTCCAAATAACAGATTTGGAGTTTGAAAATAAAATCGAGCTTTTGAAATTGTTCATGACTATTTCCAATGAAAAAAAATCCAAATCAATCCAAATATTTCCAAATCAAATAAAATTTGTTAACAATTTTAAACCTTTTGCAGTTTTTTGTGTACGTACGTTTTTCGCTGTTTCAATTGTTTTTCGTTTTAATTTCTGTTTTACTTTCGTTTTCGGCGTAATTTGTTGTTTTACTTATATTACAATAAAAACATTAATATATTTGTTATTGTTTTTTATGTATTCAATATTTATATAAAATATATTAATTTAATTGGTTATCATTATAAATTTATATAAAAAATGCAGTGGAAACTCTTACAAATGGGCACCAGCACCACATGGGTAAATAGCCACAGGTTGTAAACCCTGGTTTGGGACATTATTTTTAACAAAGTCCCTTTCGACAAATGTTAACCAAATTCTCTCTTATATATTTCAACATTTGAGATTTGCCTCAAGACAGATTATGTCTGAGCTTCAGTTTTGCAGAGTTTTCACTGTATTTTTTTAGTAAAAACGTTTCTAAGCCTATAATTTGTTTTAAACATTTTTCTTTAAGTTTCATTTATTAAATATACTAAATTTTTAACATTTACATATAAATATATTCCTATAAATATCTATATTTATTAAATATAATTATTATTATTACTATTTAATTGTTGTGTTGTCTTTTAAATGTTTCGATTTTTGTGTAAAACCAAACAAAATTATTTATAATGCAGCCTTCCCCGCCGTTTATGGACATATTCCACAAGCTTTACCACCACCAATTGCGGCGGTTGCACCCGCTCCACGTGAAGGTAAGAATAATTTATACAACAAAAAAAAATGTATTTCTCTATAAAAAAAAAGAATTTTACAAGTTTTAATTTTATTATATTATAAATGTTTTTATTTGCAAAAGAATTAGTAGAAATTTGATTGAGAATTATTACTTGAATACATTTTTTGATAATATTTTATTTTAATTTGAAAAAGGTTCGGATTTTTTTATATGAAATTTAAATGTAGCCCTTGACTTTAATGTCTTATTCAACTTTAATAGCTTATTATTACCTTAAAGTTCTTATTGAAATAAAGAGGTCGTCTGGTGAGAGATTTGCCATACGAACATAAATAAACATTTCAAAGCAATTGAGATGGCGTTGGGTGCAAGCCTAAGCCTTAACATCATGACATAACATTGTAGTTGTGTTCCAGAACCTCCATTACACTACTACGATTTCGGAAAAACTTAGTTCCGTCAAGTTTCCAATGCACATATTTTCAGCCATCTAACAATTTATGCATTTTGTCCGATCTATATAGATTTTTATAGCTTTATGGGATATTCCATCGTTGTTATATTCCGGTAGATGGCGTTGGTCGTATTAAAATGTTATATAACCAAATAACCTAATTTTTTGGGCTTTCGCTGATTTTATCGATCCAATGTTCAAGAAATCACTCTGGAATATACTTTCGAGTCCTTAGCCATAATTTCTGATAATTTTCTTTGTAATTTTTCACCATCAGGTAATTTGACAGTACAGTATTTTATTTAGCCTCCCACAGGCGCTGATATTATTCTCAGACCGTTTTGTATTTTGAATGGATTATTTCAGTACAAACATAGTTATAATGTCCTACCTCCTAGTTGTCGATAACTTCGACTTGTCTGTATTTCCAAGCAAATAAGCTGAAGGTCCATCTTTTAGTATATTCCCTGTGCCACTATACCTTCTTATTTTCGGTATTTCGAAGGTTACAGCCCCAATTTCCAAAAAAGTCGAAGGGTAGTGAAACTCCTTGCAAAAAGATCCAAATTTTGGAAAATATCCCATATAATGGTATTTCCTGATTTTAGGTATTTTGAAAGTCTCCGCCACGATTTTTAACCAAATTTCGCGTCAACCCGTTGCAACAAATTCTAATGTAGGTGTAGGTTTTTTATTATAGTCCCTTATTTTCAGCGTTTTTGAGGCCCAATTTCCAATCAAATCAGCTGTAATTTGATATTTTCAGCTTTTAGAAGTTAGTTTAATTACTCTCAGAAAATTGTCAACCCAGATTCAATTTTCGGTTAATTGCACATCTTAATTTTTGGAATTCAGTTCTGATTTCCGATCGATTTTGATTACTCCTCTCAAAAAAATTGTAATCTAGGTCCAATTTTTGGTCATTAAGCCTAGGTTTTTCTTCAAAAATCATCCTAGAATGGCGAGAGTTAGGATTTTTTCGGTTATACTCTTCTAACGAGCGCCATATGTCTATATTGGGCTAAGTTAAGTTAAATTATATTTTATTGAGTCTTTTTTTATCAATAAGATTACAATTAAAAACAATATAAAGGAATCCTTAAGACTATAATGTATTATCCTAATATCAAGAAAAGTTATACAGCATCATGCTTCATGTAATAAAAAGACAATAAAATGTAGACATCTTGTGTGTTAATGGACGCCCTTGCTCCCGGGACTTTTACATATTGGGCTAATAAATATATGAGTTAAAAACAAAAATGGAAAAGTATACTTTAAGGCCGAACATAATGTATGGAGTATTCTGTTGACGCTTAAAACTCTGAATGTTGCCTGAGGATCAAACTAGAGGATATGTATTCTAATAGTCACCACTTATTGATTCTGGGCTTAAAGTACTTTTACATACAGATTTCTATTCGCATTTTAGGACATTTGAAGTCGTTCTGGGGCTGTCCGTCCGTATGTTTGTCTGGTCTGGTGCACACGACAATTCACGAAAAGAGCATTGGATTTGGTACAAACTTGATACATCGTAATATCTTTATCAAACTTGTATTAAGTTTGGAGATGGGCAATATTAATCCACTCCTTCGGGAACCTCGCCCACAAAAAATCAACATTTTCAAAAAAATGTACCTTATAAAACAAGTAGCGACTATCCAATTTTTTGCAAATCCTAATATTTTAAGCAGTGCAAGATCCGATGCGAAAATGGATAAGATCAGCCCACTCCGTCATGTGCCTCCTCCAAAAAGAATCAACATTTTAAATAATTATAACTATTATAAAATGTGAAACAAGGGTCAAGGGTGTGAATATGAAATATATCTGTCCACCCCTACTGGTACCTTCCCCACAATGCGTCGCAATTTTCAATTTCCGATTCCAATTAAACTTGGCATATCTAATTATTTTCTTCAACCAGAAATCTGATGTGAATATGAAATTTGTCGGTCCACTCCTTCTCGTATTTTTGGTCCTGTTTTCTAATTTTGTTTCCAAAGGAATAATTGACAATGAGCAACTTAGAATATTTCGATACTGGCAAAAGCATTTCTTCTTAACATGAAATACAAAGCGCCATCTAGTGATATTGATGAATGTTTGACTTGAAAATGCAATGGCACACTTTGAGGCAGAAATAACAATTGTTAATTGTTCCGAAAAAAAATATGTAAACGTATGTGCTAAAACAAATACAAAGACATATAATACGATAAGATGGGTCATTACATTATTACTTTTCTTCAATAGATGGCGCTGGCAGTGGAAAATATGTTATGTCACGATATCGTGACATAGCATTATGTTATTCTTTTACAGAGCTGACACATTTTAGGGGTTGTTGTTGATTTTTATCGATTCAATATACAAGAAAATGCTCTGGAATAGGTTTTTGAGAGCATGTCTATCATACCTGATATTTTTTCCGCGTATTTCCGCCATTTTTCGGCGATATCGGCGTAACATATTTTTCTAAAATTCCAATGAACTTCTGTTATGTCGCCTGCCATCTATAACCTTTTGTCCAATCTTTATAGATTTATGTCTTTGACAAATACTTGCCAGAAAATATATAAATTGTAAAGCTACTTTCAGGATGAAAAAAAGGAAATCCTTAGCCAGAAACTATCCACAAATTATACGTATTTTGAGGACTAGGGCTATATTAGCTGGGACTATATTATATGCTTTTACATATATAAACATTTCCTCTCTTCTCTATCACTACCTCTTCTACAGCGTAGGCCACTTATGACCCTGCCAATAACAATTTTTGTCCTAAATGCCCTTGTCGTCAATTCCATTAATATTTGTATGTTTTCCTATATCTCGCTCTCTTTCCCGATAAACCACATGGCTTTTTCACGATTTCCGATTAATCTAAATGCTTTTTTCCATAACAAAGAGTGAAAAGCCATTAGCTAACCAGAAAACGAAAAAAATGAATCCGAACCTTTTTTTAAACATACATTCAATTAAAATTATAAAAAATATATATTTTTATAATAAAACAAAAATACATATACAGACATATTTATTAAAATAAATAAAAAATATATACAACAAAACAAAAGCTGGCAAGTGTGTTGTACAAATGTCATATATATAAAAAAATACAAAAACAAACCGTTAATAAATGTGTTTAACTAATTTGTAAAAATCAACAACTACAACAACAATGGCCATAACAGCAGCATTAAGAACATTTTTCAATTTCCTGTTGAAATCGTTTTGTTAACAAAGGCAAAAAATAAACAACAGGCAATATGACTTTCACATTAGGGGGTACTTATGCTTTTTTATATATTATATTTTACACACATACATATATAGATATGTATGTATTTATTTATAAAAAAAAGCCTATTAATATTTATTTAGTATTGTTTTTTTTTATTTATATAAATATATGTCCATGTGATTTTTGTTATTGTTATTGTCATTACTGCTGGTCATTTTGTCAACAATTGGAGGAAAAACAAATTCGAAAAAATTGCAAACCATTAAAAAAACAGTACCTTATGTTTTAATGGTCATTTGGTTTCAAGCACTATAGCTGTAATTTGTTGCTATTTTATTGTTAAAATATCCAAATATTTGCCATTAAAAGTGCTCAAAAATAACAACAACGGCAACAATTAAATGTATTTGCCATAATAATAAAAAAGGACTCAATACGACAAATACCATTAAAATCCAAAACAAAAAACAATGGCTATTCATTTGAATTTAACCTCAGAAAGAGGGGAGAGGGAAGTCCATAGCAGCTATGTTTTGAATGGTTAATGTGCCATGGCAATGCTTTTTTCTTGGACACACAATTCAATATATATTGGAATTACCCAAAAGCTATTAACAAACCTGGTTAAACTTAACCGGGAAAGGGGGAGTAGGAGTAGGCCTTCATCCAATACTTAAAAAAGTGCCATAAAAAGCCATTGCAACGTTTGAGTATTTCAAATATATGACATTTGTGTATTTTTGCTCTTAGCCTAAATGTATGCTTTAATAAATAATTGTTTTTTGTTATGTATTTCAATGTGTGTGTGTATGTGTGTTTAGTTTAATTTCATGTGTGAGTGTGATGTTTTACATTAAAACCCAATGATGTTCAATATTATTTTTACATAATTTTAATTTTTTCAAAACTGTACAAACCTTTTCAAAAAAAAAATATCCCCCCAAAAACAGCTTATGCATGTTCAAGCATGTTTTATTTTATTTACAAAAAATTAAGAGCAAAATTTATTATTTTTTCTTTAATTTTTTTATTTAATTTGCCTCTTCAGTTCCTTTGGGAATAAGTTCTTTCCCCCTCTCCTATATTCCCTTGACCCCATTTGCTCTTTCCTTTCTGTCCCCATTCAGTCATTCTTTTTTTCGTATAACACAAAAGTATGCGAAAAATAAACAACAACTCTATCATAAATCATAAACTTTTAAGTTTTCTCATTATTCAATTATATTTGAAAGAACAAAACGTATTTTTTTCTTTTTCTTTCTTTTCTTGTTTTTTCTTCTTTCTTTTTCTGGGTTTCCAATTTTTTTCTAAACATCAAATCAAAAAAACAATCAATGAAACAAACTATGTGGCCTTAAAACAAAGATTTTCTGATGTTCCCAGGATGTTCGATTTCCGGTCCCGAAGGATGTAATCTCTTCATATATCATTTGCCGCAAGAATTCGGTGATGCTGAGCTAATGCAAATGTTCCTGCCATTTGGCAATGTGATCAGTTCGAAGGTGTTTATTGATCGGGCTACAAATCAGAGCAAATGTTTTGGTAAGTAGGAAAAATTCGCTTGATTTACATGGGTCAATTTTAGCTGAGGAGGTTCTCTCACCTATAATACTTCTCTCTCCTACTCCACAGAGAATTTCCCAAACTAAAACTGCCTAGTGTAAACAGTGACATACATAGCCCCAAATGAGTCTTACAATTAATTTTCTCTTTCTCTCTCTCTCTCCTCCTCTCTTCCCCATTTTAAAGGTTTTGTTTCATTTGATAATCCTGCCAGCGCTCAAGCTGCCATTCAGGCCATGAATGGCTTCCAAATCGGCATGAAAAGACTGAAGGTACAATTGAAACGGCCCAAAGATGCCAGTCGACCCTATTAACAATCGGAGTTCCTTCAAATGTTAAATTGTTTTCAATCGTCTTTAAATCTACAAACCTTCACCAAATTGTTTATGCAGTTCTATGTTTTACAAATCGATTCCTCCTCTTTATCCTCGGCCGCCGGTAATAACAATACAACTACAGCCACGACCACCAACCACACCACTACCACCACCACAAATTGCAACACTCCAACTCCATCACAGTTGCCATTGCCACTACCACTACCAACACCACCATCAACAACAACAACACAAACTCAAGCCCGCCTTCTCCAACAACAGCAACAAATACACCATCATTATCAACCATCGCCGCCACATCATCATCAACCTTATCATCTGCAGCAGCATAATATTTTGCTTCCCTGGCAGCGTTAGTAGCTGTGGAAAACGCTGTCCCACAACAAAAAAATATTGAAAAAAATAACAAAAAAAAGAAGATGTGGAAAAGAAGCGGGAAGTTATCTTGGTATTTCAACAATACATTTAACACTCAAAATAGGTAAGTTTAAATAAATATTTAAAAAAATATATTAAAAATGTGTCGTTGGAAAAGTCGATGTCTAGATTTGTAGGACAAAATTTCGTCCTGGTACTCAGAATACAGATAAGGGCTAGTATACGCATAATCTTAGAGCCATATGTAAAAGCTACTATTTCTACATTCATGTAAAGCAGTATGAAGGGTATACTGAGTTCGTTATTCCGTCTGTAACTCATCGAAATAATAATTTTAGACCTAACAAAAAGCTGCAACCAACTTCAGACTGCTGTCATTTCTAAGCCACTCGTCCGACAGCTGCTATAATTATTCTAGTGACAGCTCATTATATTGTTTACAAGCGTACAAAAGCATTTTGGTGAGAATTCTCCAGAAAAAACTTATTCCTGATGGAAATCAAGCGTGATAGTGTGATTTCTTTATATTTGGCTGGAAAACCACAAGTGGCTATCGTTAGAACACTTCAGAATTTAAATGCAAATAAATCTTTTGTGTCTCGTACCATCGCTCGTTACGCCTCAAGTATGGCGTAGCCCGACGTCAAGGAAGTGGACGGAAGAAAACAGCAACATCACCAGAAATTGTTCGAAAAATAAAGAAGCGACCCTCATCGCAGTGACCGAAAAATGGCTGGTGAGTTAAACATATCGCAATATTCCATTCGGCAAATATTGAAAAATGAGCTCGGAGTAAAGCCATTGAAATTCCAAAAAGAGCAGGGACTTACACCGCAACAGAAAGAAAATAGACTCAAAAGAGCTAAGAGTTTCTTCGCTTGGTCGAAAGTGGTAAACTGCCGAAATTGGGTTTCTTCGATGAGAAAACATTCGTTGTCCTGCAGTTTGTAAACAAACAAAATGATCGTGTTTACTTGCCAAAGAGGTCATCTGAAAATATGCATCTTCGGTTGGCCACCAGAACTCAAGCGCCGGCCATGGTGATGGGGTGGGTCGCCACAACAGCCGATGGTCGCTCTTCCCTCGTATTAATCGATCGTGGCATCAGAATAAATGCCGAATATTATCGAGAAAATGTTCTGAAGGGTGTATTAAAGCCTTGGGCCCGCAAAGATTTTGACCACAGACCTTGGACATTCCAACAGGACTCCAACAGCACCCTCTCACTCACAACGTGTACCCGAGAATGGTTACAAAATGAGGTTCCTCGCTTCATTTCCAGCGCACAATGGCCACCAAAATCTCCGGATACCAATTCGTGGGACTATTGTGCGTCTGGAGTATTTTAGAAAGCAAGGTTTGCACTTAAAATACCTCAAGCAAGCGCTTCGCCGGGAATGAGCGAAAATACCGCAGAGCAACATTCGGGCAGCGTGTGACGGCCGTTTGAAGGCCATAATTCGTGCCAAAGGTGACCAATTCGAAAATATAAAAACTTATTGTAAAATGTGATGGTATTTCCGACATTTTTTGCTTTCATTCAACAAAAATTAAAAAAAAATGTAAAAATTATGGCATTTGACTTTGTTGCAGTTTTTTATCTCACTCTGTATGTCTAAGATATCGTATAGCCCACATGCAACGGTACCCCCCGATATTCGATATTTTGAAGATTTTAGAGAAATTATTCACCGGATTTGTTTCAAATTTCGTATTTAGAATTCGTAATGAGTACTACAGATTATGACAAAAAATTGCGTATGCAGGTCCAGGCCATTGTATAGGGCCCATATTACCGTACCTCCCGATATTCGGTACATTGATGATTTCAGCGACATTATTCACCGGAATTGTTTCAAATTTGGTATTTGAAGTTTGTAATAGATACTAAAGCCTAAAACAGAAAATCGTCTGTGCAGGTCCACATCTTCGTATAGCGCCCATATAACGGGACCTCCCAATATTCGGAACTTTGATGATTCTAGCTATACTATTTACCGATTTTTTCAAGTTTCGCATTTGCATATTGTAATGGCTTATGACAATTTTTGTCGGCTACATTCGGTATTTTTAAGATTTTAACAGAGATTTAAACGGATTTTATTTTTTACAAAATTTTCCAATTCGTTCCCAATGGTTATCTGAAAGACTCCAATAAGAAACCCTAAAAAATACTGTACAAAACAAAAAATAATTACGGAGAAAATTCACCAGAAGGAGGACACGTGTGTCGGTGTTTTGAAAATTTATATCGCAAAGTTAGCTAAATAGAGGGGAGCAAGTTCTCCCTCGGATTAGGATACCTCGGAATTTTAAGGTTAAAATCTACTATGTATGTGACTTTATGCAAAAACCTATAGAAGAATAACATCTAAGATAAAAATATTCCTCATTATATTTTATTATAAGCCATCCAAAGAAAAAGATCTCAATTCCTACTGGATATTAAAAAAATATTTCTGTTAATACTTCCAAAAGAAAAAACCAAAATATTTCATATTTTTTTCTCCCTCCTATTTATGAAGGAGGTGCCAGGAGGAGTGGACATTTGCACAAAAGACCTTAGATTAAGAAAAAATATTAGGATGTGTGTAATTCGGATTTTATAATCGTTTTGGTTATTGAAAACTTTGACCCTTTATCTCAATGTTGTTATTAGTCGCTTATGTCGCTTTTTCTGGCAGATAATTGGCTATATGTGAACCCTTTATAACTGTACCTGCGATATTGGGTATTTTTATGAATTTGGAGTTCGCAAGAGGTAAATTGCCTGTGCAGATCCACGTCTTAGCATAGCGATACTCCCGGAATTTATTTGTTTTAGTTACATTTTTCAAGAGAAATTTCTAAAATTATCTGCCACCCACGCTGGCAGATAATTGATTATAGAGATTCACGTTTTCTTATAGCCCCATCTGAGTTTAACATATAATATTCAGAATTTTTAAAATGTTAGCCGCATTTTTCAGTGGACTCTTTTCGTTTTGCATGTTCTTTTCAAATGATGAAGGGTATAAAAGGTTCGGCCTGACCGAGTTTTTCTGCTTTTTTACTCTTTAATTCTCCCAACTAATTACTGATTGTCTCTCCATTTTCAGACACAGATCCAGTATGGAAATAAAATTCCTGTCATTATTACACATATATTCTACATATATAGCAAATATAATTTACACACGGAGCTAAAACAACCCTAAACTGAAGTTAAGCAGAATCCAAGCGGAATAAACGCCGAAGTATAACAACAACAACAAACAAACAACAGCAACTCGAAAATCATAAATAAAGAAAACACTGAACTTATTACTTAACATACAAAATGAACAACAATTTTTTGCCAAAAAGAAAATAATGAAAATATATATTATTATATATATACATACACAAGTCAAGTAGTATATATATATATAGAGAAAGAGAGAAGCAAAGCTGGATGGAGCAAGCAAACAATAAGTAACCCCTCCCCCGAAAAAAAAAAAAATAAATAATAAAATGCTACATAGAAAGAACTCATGCAGTTAGATGCAGAAGAAAATTACATTTTTTTGTTATACCACAAAGAGGAAGAATTTAAAAAAAAATATTATAAAAAAATGTCAAAAAAAATATATAATTTTTATTTTATTAAAGAAAAATAAAATACAAAACAAATAATGATATATATATTAAAGAAAATAAAATGACTGGCAAGTGACCAAAAACGATCTGGGTTTTCAAACAACAAAAAATAAAAAAAAAAAAATATTTAAAAAATAAATAACAAAAAAAAATAATTTTTATACAAACCAAAAACAAAAGAAAAACAACATTATAATGGGAATTTATAAGAAATGATATAATATTGCGAGAAAAAAAACAAAACAAAAACAAATACAAGTAGAAAATTAAACCAAACAACAACAAAAACTAATTTTACAAAATTATTAAAAAACAACAACAACAAATGGATACTTATCAAAAGCAAACCAAACAACTGATAAAGAATATTAAAACAAATTGTTGATTTAAAAATTATATTAAAAACAAAATAATAATTATTAACAAAAAAAAAATAAACAGCTGAGAAATCCTATAAACAAAAAATAATAAATTAACACATGGGCGTAAGGCTCCCAGGACTGGTCAAGAAAGGAAATCGACAAGTTTCAGGCAATTCAAGAAGTTTTTTATATATTTTCTTGCCTTTTAATTTATTTTTATCCGTTCCCCTGGGACCCCACCAGCCCATGTGTTAAAATTTATTAAATTATGACAAAAAAATATTAGCAAAGATTAAGAGCCGTTATTAAGCTGCAGAGGAGTAAAACTTTTTAGCATTTTAGCTTAGTAATTATATATTAAACAACAAAAATAACAACAACAGCCGTTTAACTGCATCAACAACAACAACAAACGTAAGGAGATATTGCATTCAATGACAGAAGGCCTGGCTGGAATGCATGCAGCTAGCAAAGCAGTTGATGATAAACTTGAATATATATTAACAAAAATTTCGAATTTAATTAAATTTTAAGTAAAAACCAAAAATAAAAAAATAAAACAACAAGTTAAAAATGAAACATATATATACATAATATATTAGGCAGTAGGTGAATAACAAAAGAAAGTAAAGAAAAAACTGAGAAAAAATTCAAATATTATTTTTAATAATTATTGAGAAACCAAAAAAAAAAAAAAACTAATATTAAATAGAACAAACAAAAACAATTATATACACACATATATTATATATTATTTATAAAGAATAAAAATTTAGAAATTAAATGCAAAAAAAAAAAACAAAATTATCAAACCCCGCCCTTACTAATCCCCAAAAAACTAACACACAAATCCCAAATTCCCAAAAGTATTTTTTGTTAAATAATTTCGCTCTTATAAAAAAAAAATAAAGGTTCTTGGACCCCAAACTTAATGATAAGCCTAGAAAAAGAAACCACAACTATATCATTTTTCTCTTATCATTCTTAGAAAAAAATCACTAACACAATTTTAAAACTGTTATAATTTTTTTTTTTGGTTTAATTTTTAATTTTATCCCAAAACCCCCGAAAACACTTCAGTATTTGTTTCATAGAATTCCATCAACATAAAGTACTTACATTTTTTTTATAATTTTTACACAAAATCTTTATAACAAAAAAAAAAATATTTATTAAATTAAAAAAAAACACACATCACAAAACAACCTTAGATTTAGCTTGCTTACAGAAAAGAATATATAATACAGGTATATTTGCTAAATAAAAACCAAAAACAAAAACTTATTTATAACAATAACAAAAAATTAAAAAAAAACAAATAACAAATAATTAATTAATAAATCATTATCAATCCTATACAGCTAATTATTATATTTGCACATTTTTAGAAGAAGATGAAAAGAAAAAAATTAAAAAAATAAATATATATAAAAACTTAAAGCCTTTTTAAACAATAATATTTAAATAACTTTTTGGTTAAATGAAAAATATTAATTGCAAAGAAAAATATTATTAATTGAAAAATAATATTTAATATAATTTTTAGTTTTTTTTTTTTAAAGTTGTGGAGGCAAAACCAACAAATTTAGTTGGCAAACATCTTACATGGAATGGTAATTTATTTTAAAAGAACTCTACATTTCTCAAGATCACAAATTAACTCGAATTGTTATACAAGTTCAATTTAAAAACCCTTCATCAAAGCCCATAGATCAAACTGTTATATTTAAAATATATTGTTCATGTACTTTGACATGTTGCAAAACTTCTCATTTATTCTTCACACATTTTTTGTAAAACTGTTATAATGGAATTTTTCACTGCATTACATTAACAGTTTTAATTCTTCGTAAAACTGTCATACTGGAATTGTTCACTAAATTACATTAATTTCTATGCGAAATTAATACTCCAAAAGTTTTATGTCTTTCCAAAACCTTGTTAAAACTGTTATACAATGAAAATTAACAGATAATAACAATTTTCTGCTAGCTGTTATAACTAGAATACTACCCTTTTCTAATTATTGCATAATAAAAGTTTAAATATTACCCAAAACCTTATTAAATGGAACTGTTATACAATATATGTTTTTTCGACCTCTCAACATTTTATGATTTTTTCAACATTATAACGATAATATAATAATGAAAATCATTTTCTTCGAAAATTGCACAATTTATAACAATTTTATTGACATGCTTCAAATTACCGCAACAGTATAACAGTATTCATCATTTATATAACTTGCCACCGATTATTTTCGCTTTTTATGAAAATTGTTATACAAAACGAAACTGTATTATTTAAAACTGTTATATAAATATTAATTCTTTATAACAGTTTCTATTGAAAATTAACCGATTTGCTACAAAAATCCTTTTGTTGTTTACAATATATTATAGTTTATAACAGTTTTAGTGACGAACTTCAAATTTTCATCAATTTGTTGTTGTTATAATGACATTATTGTTATTGTATAACAGTATTCGTCATTTATAAGTTCACAGCGATTATTTTCGTTTTTAAAAAAATGTAATACGAATCGAAACTGTTATATAAATATAATAATATAAAAATAATAATTTCCAGGCAATTTTTTCACATTTTATGAAATTATAAAAGTTTAAGAGCTAGGAAGAATTTTAAAATATTCAAGTGAATATTTCTTGTCCAGTGTTTAACTGTTATACAAAAATCTCTCTTCCTTCCAAAAATTAAACGATATTTCCCAATTTATAACAGTTTTTAATGACTATTTTCAAATTTAGGCGAATCCTCTTTACTTTAAAACTGTTATAATGGAATTTTTGTTACTTTATAGCAAATTACATCCTTCAAATAACTTCTCAGCTATTATATTTGTTTTTTTTTATGAAAACTGTTAGACAAATCGAAACTGTTATAATGTCGTTAATTAAAAAAAAAACTGCTTAAGTTTGGAGTACTCCTCTATTGACTTAACTTCACAAAAAATTAAAAATTTTTAAAGGAAATTTCAGATATTCATAACTAATTTACCAACATATTTTTTTAACAGTTTGATGCAGTAATGAATCAATTTTTCAACTATGATATTTCTGAAAATATTACTTTACAGATTTTTTTTTTGATAGAACATGCAAAAGAGACATGAAAATGTTCAACCTAAGACTGTTATACACACAATTTCTTAAAAAACAATTAAGATTTATATGACTATTCTATGATATTTCAAAATGATATAAATGTTATATAGCAATATTTTTTGGGAGAAATCCCCAAAAACCACGCAGATAAATTTAAATTTCTCAAAATGAAGACGGAGTATATGGCATTTCTTTCAAATCAGAGAACATTTCTAATATTTAGAAAAGTATAATAGTTAACAATTTTGTGTATAACAATTGCTAGAGTAGTCATATTTTTTGAAACTCATTGTATTGTGTTTTATTTTCACGGTAATTACAGTTAATAACATTTTCAATCTGTATAACAGTTGGTATCACAAATGAATCCAAAATAAAAAAAAATATTTCATACAAAAGTACCAAAATATATCTGGATTGTTTGTTCATTGATAAAAAAAGGTTATACAGAAAAGTATAACAGTTAACAATTTGGTGTATAACAGCCGCTATAATAGCTATAATTTTTGAAACTCAATCTTTTGTGTTTTATTTCATCATTTTCAATCTGTATAACAGTTTATAACACATTGTATATTCAAACTGTTATATATGTTATAACAAAGAAAATTCTGAACTAAAAAAAAATATTTCATAAAAAGGTACCAAAATTTCTGGTCGACACTTTAAAGTCGACTTCAGTAATCGTTAGATAGAAGCCAAGAGGATCTATGAACGTGGAAACTCTATTTAATCGGTAATTAGCAAATTTCCTCCATTTTGTTGGTTAAAGGTCGTAGCAGTACAAAATAATGGACCTATTCGATTTTTTTAATCTAAATTAAATCTTTATGATGTCATTACGATCAAAATGTTGAAAATGTAACTTAGATTGTACGACGGTTCGTAATAATTTGTATAACAGTTTGCTAAACAGCAATATTTCCAAAACAAAAACATTTCTTAATTTCCAAAAAAAATATTTTTAACATTTAAATCTTCAATTACCATTCCTTAATCCAAAAAATATCAAAACCTATTGAAGAAGAGAAAATTTTTAATTGTTTATTCTTACTTTCGATTCTAAGTTCAAGAACTACATGCCCCTGCCCCACGCAACATATTTACAATCCTGCTGCAAAAAGAAGGAAATCTACAGCTAAATAAGCCAAATATAATTAAACCAAAAAAGAAAAAAAACAAAAATTTAATAATAAATTTAAAACAAAATTCTGAGAACAAATAATTACTACTATTGTATAGCAACCAAACAAAAAAAGTTATTAAGAAAGAAATTAAATTATGATTAGTAATGAAAACCAAACAACAACAAAAATATTTTAGTATTATTAACAAAATTATTATTATTATTAAATTATTATAATTGAAAACAAGGAATGCTAAAACAAAAATTATTAAAAAATTGTTGACAACAAATAATAATGATAATTGATCTTTTTGAATTTTTGCATTATTAAAACCAAATATGGAAACAAAGAAAAAAACTAAAGTTGCTATTTCTTAAATTTTAAAAACCAAAAACTAATACATATGTTAATTAAATTTGTAACATTTCATTTTAAGTGCAATAATTTGTTAATACATATAATTATAAATAATTATAGTTTTTCTTAATTATTATCTTTCTTTGGATTTTTTTTAATTTGAATAAAAACAAACAAAATGAAAATTATAAAAAATAATAATAAAATGAACCTTAAAAATCAAAGGTTTCCGTCCGTTGTAAACAAATAATTATTATTTTTTTGTGACACAAGTAAACATTTATCAGACTTTTTTTTTCGTTAAACAAAAAAACTGAATAAATTTTTTAAAAGAAAGCTATACATTTTGTCGTGCAAGAAAAAAGGGATTTGGGAATGGCCGAGGATTATGGCGTTTCTCGCTTTTCAAGATAAAATGAGTCTCTTTTAAAAAACCGTCTCTTATTTTTAACTGTTATACTGCA